AAAAAACAAAAAGTTAAGTTCGCATATGTGAAAAAAAGGAGGAGGGCATTTCATATTGCTTTTTATTCATTCAACTTGTATATACCCACCTATCTCAAACAGGTGACACCCTGGCAGGCAAAATAATTAAAACAAAACACAAACAAAAAAGAAATGAAATACAAATATCAACCAAGAGATATCTGTTAGTATCAACATAGCCAGGAAATGTAGCTCTTCACTCTAGACCTGGGCACATAATTGTATCTTCAAGGTCAATAGTTAATCTCAGAGAGACACCGCAGAAAAGACATATCATCTGGTCCCCAGCAACCAAACTTCCTTGGCAGGCAGGACTCATAACATGCCTGCGCTGCAAGACCAGATTGGAAGCGTAAAAGCAACTGGAAGAAAGTGGTCCCACAACCAAACACAATTCCCCAAAGCAGCAGCCTTACATGTACCAAATAACCAACCTTTGCAGCTCAGTGTTTCATCAGCTGAAGCTTCTGAATGCTTTTCAAGGGCAGGCCTATTTTATAAAGTAGCTGGCCATTAATGGAAACACCCGCCTTTCTCCCTGCTCATTTGATCTAATTGCTTTTGTCTTTAGCAGGGCAAAGAATTACAGCTAAACAATTGGCTAACTTCACGTGGACATAGAGGTTTCTCCTAAGAGCAGTTGAAATGTAGAGTGAACCAATGGTGGGAAACATGGTGGGGAAACTTTCTTGAAGAACTTTCTGACATCATTGTGTCCAAGGAAACCATTGTATTACAAAAGGTGGGGGACTAAAATTGCATTCACCCTTGTCTATCTTTAAAAAGTATTATGTATGCTTCAAAAATCATTCATGTAAAGAAATATCTCAACTACAGAATAATAGTGATAGCACAAACCTATTGTAGATAGCATACTGGTTAATGGTTTTAACTAGCTCCTTTCTCACTAAATGCTAAATACCTAACAATGTGGCTGACATTGACTAATTTGTGGGCTCAGTAGTCTCATTAATGGTTCAAGGTTGAGCAAACCCAGGCAATTTCATTAAGTAAAGCCATGGATCAATTAACCATGGATTGGGTTGTTTTGCAAACACAACCACTAGCTTGTTTCATGATTTGCTCCTCCCTCAAAATTTCATCTTGATTTTGACTTGTTTGCCTAGAGTTGGTACTGCAAGTCAAGTAAAAAGATTCAAAACTCTGGGTGTGAGGAACAAGGTTTTGGGTTTTTTTTTTGAAAAATGCACTAGGAAGAGACTCATAGTTGGGGGAAAAGATCCCAGTTTGAAGAAAAGCAGGATACCTTGTTTGACGTGTACAGCAAGGATAACTTCCAAGCTAAGATTGGCAGACATCCCACCTCAACTCTTTCCATTTGTATTGCTGATTACTGGTTCTGGGTAAAGAAGGGGCAGAGACAGTAAAGAGAGTAAATCTGTTTAGAGTAGTGTTGCTAGAGCCATGAACTCATCTCTTTGTTCATTAGTACAATTGGCATAACATAAGGACTATTTGTGCTCTTTCTTGAAACCTCTTGTGGTAATCAAAAGGAGCCTGAAAAATTCTTTTAGGGCCAGTAGCCTTTTGGCAACTTTCTTGTTTGGGGGGTGGGGAACCCATTATAGCAATTTGGGTTCCTGTTTTGCAGTTTCCTTCTTACCTTGAAGGAGAAAGCTTGAAATAGGGAACCTCTCTGTTTTTCCCTGTTATCTTTCTTTTGTAACTCTATACATGGTAACCCTTAGGTTTGGTTTGGGCTGACAGTGTTGATGACTGCTGACCACCTGGACTACAGGTGTTTTTTTTTGGCAAGCTTGGCTCTCTCATACAGTTTAGAATTAGGTGCTTAGTTATTAGAGAACCATTATTTTATACTATAGCGATTAAGGTGCCAAGCGAAAAACCAGGTGTGTCTAGTCCCACCTAGGCACAAAACCAGTTGGGTGACCTTGGGCTATCCACTCAGCCCTAGAAAGGAGGCATTAGCAAACCACTTCTGAAAAACATTGCCAAGAAACTTAAGGGACTGGACCAGCTAGTCACTAGTTGCTAATGTTAACTTGAAGGCACAAAAAACTCATGGACCTAGTGATTATATTCTCATGACATCGTCCTGGTTACCTAAATACAGTAAATCCTCGAAAAAACCATAAATACAAAAATAAAAACTGATTAAGAAAGAACAAAAAAGAACCATCAATGGCAGGCGATCTTATAGGCAGTTTGGTCCTGGAGTACTGCAAGTTATTATTAACATAAATACCCCGGGGGGAAATAAGCATGACTTCAATTGGTTTCTAAATGAAGTCAGATTTGGAAGCTGATTAAATAGCAGTTAGTCCTTGACTTATGACTACAGCTGAGCCCAGAATTTCTGTTGCTAAGTGAGTTTTGCCACATTTTACAATTTTTCTTGCCACCTTTGTTACGTGAATCACTGCAGTTGTTAAATTGGTAACACTGTTGTTAAGTGAATCTGGCTTCCCCATTGATTTTGCTTGTCAGAAGGTCGCAAAAGGGGATCATATGACTCTGGGACACTGCAACCGTCCTAAATATGAACCAGTGGTCAAGCATCCAAATGTAAATCACACAATCATGGGGATACCACAATGTGCAATGATCATAAGTGTGAAAAATTGACATAGATCACTTTTTTTTACTGCTGTTGTAACTTTGAACGGTCACTAAATGAATTGTAAGTTGAGGACTACCGGTGTTCATTCATTTAATCCATGGGCGTCGGGGATGAGTGTTCACGGCGATATCCCCTGTACAGCAGGTGAGTTCACAAGGCTAAAATGCGACTGACTAGACTGTGGTTCATTATGTCATGTTATCGGAACAGAGCAGTACTAGGTAACAAGTAGGCAGAAGTGAAAGAAGCTGTTTAACTGCAGGAAAGGTTAGCAGGGTGGGCCTTGCCCCAGAACTGCTCTGCTCATTGAGCAGCCTGGTTACAGGAAGTCCCAGCCTCATAGGGGAAGCTGCATTCTCCACTGCCAGAAGAGGAAGCGTTGTGGTGAAGTCTGCATGATAAGCTGAAAGCCCCAAGAGCAAGTCGTGCCACAGGAGTTGTGGCTGGGTGTGGCCTGCTTTTGAATTTCTCCCCTCATCAAGCCTGAAGCCCCAAGGGGCGCTGCCGATTCCTTGGGAAGATGTCCCTGTCCTCCGTGTACGAGCACAAATTTGCCGAGAAGCTGACAATTCTTAATGACAGGGGCAAGGGGGTGCTCATCCGCATATATAACATCAAGAAGGTAGGTGCTGATGTGCCTGCGGTGGCATGTCATTTTGCTCCTCGGAGAATGAGATTTCCAGCTGATCCTAAGGAAGGAATATAGCAATGTCTGGGGTCTATAAAGACTGGAGCCTTTCTCTATTTTGTTCTGGCTTACAGCAAAGATGGGAGGCCCAGGTAGCTATAGAGAAGATCTCCTATTATACTTGGTTTGAGGAAACTGGTGGATAGAGAAAAAAATAGTGCAGCCTACAACTACCCCTCAGAAACACTAGCTGCAAGAAAGATTAAGAAACAAGTGGTTCTTATATAGCAAGTATATGGTAGTCTCAATAAAGGCCCGGGAGCACTTTTTGTTTTTAATTAATTCTTAGGTGATGCTTTAGAAGAAAATAGTTTGATCCCCCCCCCCCCTCAATCTGCAGCTTTATTCTAATTTTCTCCCGCTTCAGACTTGCTTTCCTTCCGGTATCCCATCCTAACCCTTCTTCTAGACCAGGAAAAATATCCGTGTCATTATTTAAGTAGTTCTCACAGCGTATTACACTGGACGTGATTTGATGTGCTTTGAGAATCCAAGCCTGGTGATTAGTTTATGGTTCACTGTGTTGTGTGTAGCACAAATCTAGATAGTTGGGTCTATGCTGTAAATCATTGGTTAGTCTGTTGCACATAGTCCTTATGCAGACATTTTCTTCCTCCCTTTCTAGTATCCCTGCTTGGTGCAAACATCACATTGATAAAATGGTTTGTTTTGGTTTAGTGCATAGGTGGAGAACTATGGTCCCTTTATGACTTATGGATTTAAGCTCTCATAATTTCTGAGTCAGTATGACTCAAGGTCATAAGTCATAAAAGGGCCATTGTTCCCCACCCCTGGTTTGGTGTTTTGTTAGCGCTTATGTTTCTTTTTTACATAAAACTTGGGTTTATGGCTTTCTAATGTTAAATTAATCAAACCAGTTGTGGTTTATTCAAATTATGGCTTAATGCAATGTGTGAACCTGGTTTGTGGTTTTAGCATGCTGCTTTTTCTGAACTGTCTTTAATGCCTACATTCTATTGTGGCCTAATGTTCCCTCCATCTGAGCAGGGACTGTTTTTCAGTTATGATTTCTATAGCACTCAGTGACAGAATTAAGATTATATTTTAAAAGCAGAGGATAGCGTGCTAGGACTTTCAAATGTTTCACGCATGTCCCAAATTTCTTCAGAAGAGCCTAAAAGCTTGACAGGGGATTTTTCCATCTTAACAAAAGTCATGTGAGCTAAATTTAGGACAGTCCCCCCCAATATGACATCATCCACATTTTTTAAAGTTGTAGTTACACATATCTGGAGGAGATGAGAAAGCTCTCTGAGAAAAGCAAACTGATCACAAGTTGACTATGAATGTTTGGACCAAGTGAGGATTTAAGCTGATATGCCTTTGGATACACCATCCCTTGAACTGCTAAGTACTATACCTTATTCTTAGCTGCTTTAATTACTAGTGATTGGAGAAGGCTTTAAGAGGAAGGAAGGAAACAGCAGCTTTAGAGTAATTCAGATCAACAGACAAGAAGCCAGCAGAAGTAGCTGCTTCCTCTTCCTGTTTGGAACTGTTGGGGAGGGCGGTGACATCTTATGCAAATTAGATTGTGCACCCCTGTTTACATTCCTCCCCACCTCCCACTGCTGGCTACAGACCATATTTTGATAGCGATCATAATATTTCCTTGTGACATAGCAATTATCTCCCATTGTACTAAATAGCAATATACCAATACAGTTAAGAATTTTTGGGAACTATATATGCTATTAGTTCTTGTTTCTGTCCAGAGTTTGCTGCCTGACTGTGGTAGGTTAGTGTTACTAAACGTGTAGCTTAAGACCAGGGGTGAGTTCCTGCAAGTTCCAACCTCTTCTATCTACAGTGCTGTTTAGAAACGGTTCCAGCTTCCTTCCCCACCCCCCCCAACCTCCGCACCACGCTTGCCCTGCCCGCCGCTCACTGATTGGCTGGCTCAACAATTCCCCCCCCCCCCGCCTCTAAGAGTCCTAGCTAAACCTTAAAGTCTTAAAGTTGTC